AGAAACTAAATTTGATTAAAGCTTAAAACAGCGTTCTTAAATTGACCTCTTACAAAAGTGTGCCTGCATATTAACAACTCTGGAACAGAAAAGTGCTCCAGAAACATATAGTTCGTGGCGATTGCTTCGGTTGTCGAGAATGAACTTTAGAATGTGTCGCACGTTGTGGGAGGCTTTTACTTCAGTTCTTTTAGAATATGGTAAAAAGATGGCTGTCTTCAGGGATCTAGTCCGTGCAGTGTGATAGATATTTATTGACTTCCAGAGGAGATTACTTTCTGATGCTTCTCTCAAACATCGGTTAATAGTTCCTAGTCTCCACGGTCCCATATCCCAGTAGACAGCCATCTTCATATTCGTCTCTTTGGGAACATAAAATGTTACAAAATATGGTGAAGTTTGTGTAGTTTTTACGGCATTTAGTGATGAAGTTTCCTTTACTGGAGGTTTAACGCTGTTTGTGGGCAGTACACAGTGACGCTACCTCAAGAGTCGCACTGTAGGCTTGAGGTTCTCTGAAACCAATGCGGTACGGTACAACACAGCGCTTCCTAAAGTGTGCTGTGTAACTTTGTACCGCTACCGCGTCGATTTGAGAGAATCTTTAAACTAGTGCCGCTTTATCGCGAGAAACAACTCTGAATAGAATACGTATTTGGATCTCAGGATGAATTAATGGTTATCACGCCTGCAACTAATGTTATAATCATTTTCAAAATAACTTTATGGATAATACTATTTAGTTCTTTAGGTAGCAAAGCCAAATCAGCTGGTAATCTGTCCACATACAGAGAACGGAAACATTTATAAAGAATATAAAGAAAGTAACATAAATGCAGTTTATTCTAGGTATTTCTATTGTATGAAGTTCGTCAAGTATTACGTTCTGAAGCATCTTGTCACAGTACACCATTTTAATATGATAACATTGTTTCTACAATCATGCTACTCTCTAGTGGCTTGTTGTCATATTACAGCAGGCAATAAAACATTATAATAGCACATTAATATTGTTGTAAACTGTTGATCTCCTGCGGGCGGTTGTTGAGCTACGCTACGTAACATAACGACGAAGTAATTTCTCTTCAGCATCACGTATGCAACGATTACTCCAACTGTGGACTATTGCTTATATTGTTGCTGCTTTGTTATGGCTTTCCACTAAACTACATTTGAGTATTAAATGATAATAAGGCATTGTTTGTGGACACACGCGCTCCCCGGATAACTGAAAGAAGGAAACAATTGTGTAACATTGGAGTCATAGAGGAATTCTGTTAGTACCCACTACCATTCCCTTCATCATAAAACTATAAAGACAGCGGCCCGTTTGTTCACTTGTTCTGGCGTCAGTTGTAAATATATACAGAAGACAGAAATCTTCATACTCACCGCAGTGAAAACCTCGAATCATACCTAAAATTATTAAAGCCTTAAGTCAGGAGAGGGCCCAAAATTGAACCCGGGACATTTAAAACACATATAAGAAGTGCCAAAAACTGGGTTAGAGTTTCTCATAAGTGACTACTCGTTTATAACTTAAATTCTTCGGTCAGCTGAAATTTTTAAAGTTCTTAGAAGAGAGGGATTTAAAAAAGCAAACCTATGGCAGTGTAACGTAGTTACTGGCGACCGGTTGCAGCAAACCATAGAAGCCGCTCCCTGTTTTAACATAACATTGTTACTGTACCATTTCCTCCTTATTGATCTGCCTCGCTAGTTGCATAAGCAGGCTTCCCATTCGGGCAACTGCTCCAGTGTGTTCAGTCTGACAATCGAGTTAGGTCTGACTGAGCCCGAAAACCTTACTTAATTGTAACAAATTAGTTAAATCGAAGTGGGTTTACCAATTTAAATATCTTGTTCAGTGCAATCACACAGACAAGCGAATGAGAGATACCCGTTCATGAAACCTTGTTTGGTGCACGCGGTTTTACGAGTGCAGCACATATAATCAATATGGAAGCTTTCCACCCGTCATCATTAGGAAATCTGTGTACCGGGCAGGGAATTGTATAATGTAGAGGTTAGAATGATTGTTTTATGTTTGCAAAATACGTGATTTAGTATTTGTTCAAGGAGAGTGAATTTGTCGCAATTACTCCAAGCGAATGTTTTAACGGTACCTTTAAATAGACCGTGACAACTTCCATTCACACTATCCATTTTGCCATTCTTAATACTGCTTCGTCACAATCAAGGCTTGGACCTCCAGGTCTTGTTGAGAGTATCGATAAATAAACTGGACAAGTAGAACCTCAAATCTCGCGTAGTCGATTGGAGGCTGTGTACTCGTGTCCATTCAAAATAGATTATACATAGCAATACTGTTGACTCTTGTGTTATTTAACAATGCTGTATCGATACAGATGTTACATAAAAATAATTATGGAAATTGATCTAAAGACGTGGTCGTGGACTATTTTAATCAGTTACTGGAGAGATGGAGACGTGGCTGTCGACTTAAATTGTAGAACGTTAACACTGTGCCATCTTGTTCGGGTATAAAAGGCCAAAATATGAAGGAAAGTGGTTATAGTTTGTCATTTATAAGGTTCTGTCATGGAATTTCCTCGAAGGCAGAATGTTTGCTCTGCAACAGGTACTCTTCAAATACAAGGTTACTGTACTGTCACTGAGCTATAATGCTCAGTATTTAACTTGTCAGGAACTTTGTAGTTGATATGGCAGTGTGGGAAAGAGATCTTCAGTGATCCCCCGAAGCTGTGTGCTGCTGCAGTGGAGCCCCGCGATGTGTTCCAAACTTGTGCGTCAACACGAAGCAAGACGTACTTGACGAGTTACTTCAGGCGTATTTCGCATCAGTGGCTCGTGGCTGGGCCGTTTATCTTGTGCGACTGAAATATCTATGGATGAGCAGTTTCTGTGGGCTAATAAGAAACCAACGCCTTGATACAGAGTGTTTGCCCGCATAATACATGTACCAGTTGCTATAAAATCGTCTGGGGCCATCAGCCTAAACTCGGCCGATCGCCCGAGGGGATTTTGTAGCATACACTCGCCGTGAAAGTTTCAAAGAGTACATATACCAACCATTTGACTTCCATTCTTACACTGATGAATCGGTCATTTCGAAAATGACCTTTTTCTGTTTTGGCGAAACCTTTGTACTCTACGCACACAGATAAGACTGCAAAAAGAGAGCGTAATTCTGCGCTTTAGCGCAAGGTTAGTAATGCTCATCTGACATCGCTTTTGAAACGGCTTTATACCTGGAATAAAGCAATTTTTAGTGTGAGCTGACGGTTATGACACCTAAGTATTTGGGTTCTTGTGGGCGTGGTACTGAACCTTAGGGTACTTCTCTAAAAGCTGGATGGCTTATCAGTTTTTTCAAGGATTCTGTTTCATAGAGTCAGTTATAATGGTAACATTGACCACAGGATGTCAAACAGTATTCAGAAGAAATGTATTTTCTAAAGCTGTCAGCTCCAGTATGTAAATAGTTTCAGTCGCAGAGCCGAAAGCATTGCAGAGATTCTGTGTTTCTTCTGTTCATTATGCGCCATTGGCAAACGCTTTCTTTTTGTTGTTTGCCTATGACGTATTTTACAATAATGGGCGTATCTTATAATATGAACTTCATTCCGTTTTCCTTCAGCCTTCTTATATCGGCCTGGTATTCACAGCATTGGCAGGGATAAGAGGATTGTGGGCAGATACATAAAACAGTAACCAGACAGTTCTGTGTTTATCCCAAACGATGTCATTTCTCAAACTGCTGCTGGCTTCGTGGTACCGCACTGTTAAGCTGATGTGGGGCGATCACTCGACGAACGCCAAAGCTTTGCACATAATGGTTGCGATATATTTTACAGAAATGGTGCCTTCTCACTGTTGTGGCTGTTTCATTTCCCTACGCGCATGCGCATACATATACAATTTTTTTCTTAAATAAATGTAATGTAAAAGTAGCACTTTTTCTGTTTGTATGTATGTTCCAATACAATTCTTCATCTGTCACAGATCTAATATGATAGGTGTACATTCATAAATAATTATGGAATGCTGTATACTTAGAAATATTGTACGATGCCTTTGACTTAAAACCGACCTGTAGTAAGATCCATGTGTAAGAGATCAACCTACTAAAAGATTTGTGTGTACAGGATGTAATATTCCACCCCTTGTCTTTCCCTCTTTTTTCACCTTATGGCCCTACACTTTCATCTTATTTCCCTGCTTGTTTTCATTCAAGGGTCAAATGAAATTTTGTAAAAGTGGACATGATGCTTTCGTATCATATAAATTTACAAGGTTGATTAATTCTTACTTTGTTTAATTAAACTGTGTCTTATGTTCTGTCAAAATTCATATAACCCATGTTTAATTATATTTTCTAGGTGCTTAGGTTTTATAGACTGATAAACTTATGTGGTAGAGGGAAATTGTGTTAATATTTCCATAAGATATTTCTCTGTGAGAAGAAATAGACATTATCTTTCTGCGAAATGTTGGTGTCTACTGTAAGACCATTACTACCATGAACTCCAATATTGACATTTTCACCGCCGTGAGAACTTCAAGTCTCATTTGTAGGTCTGTCTATGGGAGATAAAAGCGGGAATGGTGTTTTAACAACACATATGTATCCAAATTACACTGACAATAGGAACTAAACAGGCTTATATGTTTAAGTGGCATACGAAGGCGAGACTGGCGTGATTGTAACAGATATACAGAATGTTATATGTACTAGTCACTGATTGAAATAAGGACAATTTAATAAACCAAACCATGACAAAATTGCCGCTGTATACATATTTTTGCGACGCTCTGTTTATCCATATATTTTCTGGGCCTGTATGTGGAACTGATATTTTCACAACAGATAAAGGGGAGACTAAAGTGAAACTGATGTTTCTACGATGGATTGACATATGACGGTGCTTCTGGAGATGAAGCTGGGGTCACGCAGTGGGGCATCACGATGAATTTCAAATCAAGCAGATGAGACTTTGCTTGTTTTTGTGTTGCAGGAAGCTGGTAACCGGGCCGCCGTTACAAGAAGTCCGTAGCTCGAATTCTTGGATCACGCTTTTCACATTGTCATTACCAGTCACTCAGAATCGTCACAGTAAGTGAAGTGTCTATCCAAACTGAATTATGTATTCATATGGGATATGAAGTCGATTTATTTAAGGATAAGGTTGAGCTTCTTTGCTTTCCGTATTTGGAATTCTTTTATTCTGCTTGCTTTATAGTAGCCAATACTCCGCGAAGCCCTTATAAATCTTATTCGCAAGCTGGTTTATGCACAGGGTGAGCACAAAATAACTGTAGACTTTCAAAATGGCAGAACACAAATGCGGCGTACTTAGAACTTCGCCCCTGCACTAGTTAAAGTTTTGTACACTCCTCACAGAGACATTATACATGCTTCTCGAATTACACTGCAGATGTCGAGACAATAATCCAACTCGTCCCAAAACTTTCTGCAGAGTGTTCCTAGTGATTAGAATTTTTTGTATCAGGGTAAATGGATTCTTGGTTGGGTGGTTCCATTTGAAATTGCGACATTTACGTTGCACAGCTGTTACAGACTCTTTCTTCGCTAACTGCAGGACATACCAACTTCTCTGTTGTGGGGGTGTCCATTTGCGAGACTAGTGGCATCTAGCGGAGACGCACAACTACAACCACCAGGGCCATTTTAAACTAAACGTTGAGAGTTTCTCCGTTGATTCGTGTGGATGTAAAGTTCTGAGTAAGCCGCACTTGTTTTAGTATCAATTTGAAAATGTGAAGTTCTTTCTTGCTCATCCTGTATAATGACCAGTGATTGTCACAGATATCCATGCCTCATATTGTATTTCAAAGCTACTTTTGCTGTGTTTTGTGTGCTTGGTGAGATTTTAGGTTCATGACTGTCTTATTTGTATTGCGCCTTGTAGTCTGGTAGAGGTGCTACTGCCTCCATCATCAGGGCGATGATTGCTGAGCGCAACATCCCGTAGGACAGCCATCTTGTGTTTAATTTTTTCTGATAACATCTGTGCTTAAATTTATCTTAATAATGCCCGTTATTTTTGCATAATAATTACATTTTATTTCTGTAATTCTTGTATGGTTGGAGAAAAGGTGTCCTTTTATTCTAATTTACTTATTTGTTTCATTGTCTGACAATTTTTGCTCTTTGGTTCTTACTATTGCACGTTCCACATAGATATTTTGATTTTATATTTATTTACAGCGAAGTTTGGTGTGTATGCCATAGCTTATAATTCACCCGGTGATTCAGCCAGTAGAATCTGATAATTGTGCACAGCATCGTATTAATTTTGCTGTTAGATTTCCGCTTAATTCGAGTTGTAACTTTGTTTTGCACTTTTTTAAAGTCGGAAGGAACACATTTTGAAACACTGTGTAGGACAAGGTGAAGTGCATATTAACTGTATGTGCTCAGGAAGAAACTAATGCTGGTAGATTTCTTACTTCAGACAGCAAGTGAGATCAAGTTCTGTGAAAAATATATTTCAGCTATTTGTAACAGACATTTGTTTGCCCAAGTCACTGTATTTCTTCGTGCTGATATTCTGCGACTTTTCCTGGACATTTCACTTCAGCCAAACTGTTTGGAACACGGAGACAGAATTGCGTGATACATTCTTGTCACAAGCAATCTCCAAGCTTCGTTGACCGTTAACATAGACACAGGTTGAGGTCCAATGGTCCGAGGTACGGGGAAGGGGAGGAGACGAAGGCGCATAAGGTGTCTTGCTCCCCCCTTGCCATTTCCATCTTCCGTTTCATTTTATTGTTACGCAGCCCAGGCTCGCAGATGTTTTGCATTTTTTTCTTAGTCTTTCAGCACGGGCACTAATATAATATTTGTTTCCAGTACTTACATGCAATTTGCGTGCTATTTACACAGTTTTTATAGCATTTTCAATTTTAACATGTTTATGTTGGAGATCAGTGTCCTGAGGATAATATTTGAACTTCTACGGGCGGAAGTAATAGAGAATAACAATACTGCATGTCAGTGAGATTTATAATTTGTACTTTAGCAAATATTAGTATTGCGTTAGAATTAAGGACGATTATATTGGCGGGACATGTAGCACAAATTTGTCCAGGGTTTTAATTGACAGACATGAAGAGAATAAACCATTATAAGGCATAAGGGCAGATGGATGGTATTAATGTTGATAATTGAAAAACATGGTCTAATTGTATGGACTGCATTTATCTGGCTCAGGATAAGAACCAAGCGTGGGGTATTGTGTACCTTGAGGTTCAATATTTTGACCAGCTGAGCGACTATTTATTTTTCATGAAGGACCTTGTTTGATGGTGTTGGTTGATCAAGTAATAAACTTACCGAAATCTTGTGAATATCTGTTCGTATTGTCCAAAATAATTTTTTTCCAAAATTGCCTGTAAATTGCGTTAAGTAACAAAGCTTCGTATTTATTATGAATTTATAGCCCATTGATCATTATTGGCGTTGAAAGCTGATTGCTAGATGCATTAAAGGGTTGCCAAGCAACGATACAGCTGGATGCGTGAATGCTCTTTGCGCAGTTGAACTGTGATGATCGCCTAGCAGCCAGATGGAAACACAGAGGAGAAATAACGAAATAATTTTGTAACAGTGTGTGTAATTTGGGTTAAACATGTAGTTTAATACGGTAGAAAGACACGGGTTGGTTGACAGAGACAAAAGAAGAATGAAAACTGTAAAATCCTTAACTGGATGTACAAGGACGACTGAATGAAACTGAAGATAATTACTGAAATAGAGAGAAAGTAAGAAGACAAGAAAGTGGAAGATGTTAATTCACTCAGAAAGATATGGAAGTGTCATGTGGTAGGACGGTTGAAAACAAGTGGCTGAAGGTGATAAACCCAGACGAAGTGTAAGACGAAGGGCAAGTTGTCATTGGAGAGGATATGGGGCCGATACGGGCATTAAATTGCCTAAACCGCCGTTATACTAGTGCAGTCATTGTAGACTCTCCTTCTCTGGATCTTTATCCCACAGCCTTAACGATTTATCTTACCTTGAGGGATGGGTAATATAATAAAAAAATTAAATTACCCCCGGTCCCTATCCACTCTCCATATCTCGACCATTTCTTCGTCCTTAAAGGTTTTTACAACCCTTATTCTCATACTTTATACATCTTGCCGAGCCAGTTGAGAAAAACTTTCAACATAAATTTGTACGTATAATATCATAAGCACGGTCGATGGTTGCTTACATACGAAACGAGCTACAAGGGATACCCGGTTTATAACCAGAGGAACGCCGTTACGCGTACATCCTTTTCCTCAGTGGCAGGGTATTCTTTACGGGTTCAGAATGGCAAAGTTTTGTCGTGCTCGAAACAAAGGAAGGTACAACAGCACTTGCAGTGTCAGTACATAGAAACCATTTTCCAGAACGTCTTCTGAAGAGTGTTCCCGGTTAACGTCATTCAACTTACTGGATTCGTTGCAAGTGAGATCGGACAAATCTGGTCAGGACCTGCCTATCCGATGGAAAAATTGTCTTCTAATCTTTCATGTTGGGTTACTTTCGTATTGTTTTAACATTTGTTGTCTTAGAAGTGGACTTTAAATGTAGTCACCCTTGGAAGCTCTTAGTATGAATTTAAGGTTATCACAATCCACGCAAACCGAAAGACTGCCTGGAGGTATCTTTACTGCAAAGGCTCTTTTTCAACTCGTAATGGGTGTAATCTAAAGGTTTCTGACGATGGCGCGTTATATCCATAAAAATGTTTATTTAAACAATGGTCAAAATCCAAAGAAACACTTAAACAAATCGCAGTAGATGTGTGTATTTTTATGTTGAATCACAATATAGTCGTTTATATGTACGCATGCGAACTTTACTGCAGCCGAAGAAGTCTCGCTTTCAGCTACCAAATTGGTTTGTCTCTCCTTTTGAACTCTCACTAATACCTAAAATATTTACAACTTTCTTTTGGGCTTCATCATCTCCTGTTTTTGAAAAAGTAAAAAGAAATCACAACGTTTGAAATGACGGTTCTTTTTTCGTCTGCCGGTAAAGAGAGGAGGAAGACGCCTGTTCTGTTTGATCTGGTAGACTAGTTGTGGCATACCGATTGGGTACAGCTCGGTATACCGGTTCCAACAGAATACGTGTCTTAAGCACCTATGAAACTCCAGTAAATTTCTAGCATACTACATGGCGCAACAACCCAGAAGAGAACCATTTTCAGAATAGGCGCGTTTCTCTTCCATTTTACCCGAAGACGAAGTCGGGACTTCCAAAGTTTAAATGTTCCAAGTCTAAAATAAAGCAGATTATTAACGAAGTCAAAAGCATCATCTCACTTGTATGTTAAAATAACGCGTGTGTATACTCATAAAAAAGAAGTGTTTAATGTGGTAACAAGAACGACTTGAAAAGAAGACATGGTTTTGTTATGCTGTGCGGACAGTGTGTAATTCTATGTTTGGAATTTACTTCATTTCGTTGAAACGGAGACTGAAAATCGTGAGGTGAAGCCGCTCAGCCGCAGGCTGTGGCACGATCCATCAATACTGAGCCGGCAGGGAACTGAATCTCCCTCAGCTCAGGACAGTTGAGCTTCATGGCTCAGACTTTGTTTGTGTTGTAATGGAAAGAGAGGGGCAGTTAAATGAAAATGTGGCTCTTGCCGGCCTATGGAACAAACAACACAGAGCAGAGGCATTCTTTACAAGTTAATACGTGCTTAACTGGTCATTAAATTACCCGCCTTTTAAGGAACCAGAAGAGGTTCGTCTAGTTCAAGGCCTTTCGAAACGAATCGAGGAGAAAATTCTTACACATCAGACATAATTACGGTAGACGTTTAATGTCGAACAGTAATTGATTAAGGATTTCAGCTTTCCTATATCTTGTTTTGTTTGAGGCAGTTCTGTGACGATGGACAGTGTTACTAAGTAACCAGCCGATTAAAGTTTTTACAAAACCACAAAGTCGACCACCGTCATCAAAACACAACCGGTCAAAACTACTCCGAGCCATTTCAACCTATTCATGTAACTACTAGGCCAAGATTCAGTATAAATAAGCCACCGATTCTCCGATCAACATGTTGGTTTCAAGTGGGAGAC